TAGGATCACCAATAGGAGCCACAGAAATTTATTTGTACGTTTCATAACTCATTGACCCAAGAGACGTAATACCTCCGCCTAAACACTCTATTCCGTTTAGGGATTTAAGGACTACTTTTCCAATTTAAGTTCTTATGGTCTCGTTTTAATGCGTTTTAAATTTCCTTAAGATGGCCATAAAGAAGGAAAATTGTTCAAAAAACAAGGATTCTGTTATAAAGTAAAAAGTTAAAATTGATACCTGACAAGAGGGAAAAACTCTTGTCTTCCTAGCCGTAAACAATCTTTTAAAGTAAGCTTAAGCTTTACGAGGAAAAGAAGGCCAATATGCTAGATTAGAGGCTAACTTCATATTTCACTTTACAGAAACATTTTGTCAACCTTCCGCCTATGGAATTGAATATCCGAAAAGATTTAGGAACTTCAATTTTAATTTAAATTTGCTTCGTGTTCATAGCAGAATTTTAATTGTAAAGTTTTCGGGCTTAACACACTCGACGTGAATGACTAACAAAAAATCCAGGACATTGTTGGTATAGAGTTCTGCTTGCATCCTTATTAATAATCGAATGGTAAAGTTTGATTTATATGCAAATGCTGGGATCACGGAAGGCGTTAAAGTTAGTTTCCTCGAGCAAATACGTACGAACTTTAAGATTATAGCACGAGTGCTTGAATAAACCGATCGGTTCGTTTGTTTTAACTGCTTTAATTAAATGTGTCGATACACACCCTCATATATACATAAATAACTACTTCAGTAAGTCAGACAGTGTGATATTGGGAATGACTAATGTAAATGAATTGTACAGAGGATGTGTACGAAGAACCAGTTTTTACTGTACGAAAATAGGCGATTTCCACAATAAGTAAAAATGGAAAGAAAAACGGTGATGGTTGCACGATCTCATATGTTGGTATGAAACTTGAAAATCTTCCATAACTTTTAATTCTAAACAACTTTTTTAAATACATTTTTGTTAGGTATATCTACTAAAACAAAGACAGTTTACTCTTGACTAATTTTCTAGAATTTGACAAAAAAGACACCCTGTATATTAATTGATTCCGCTCATTTTTTCAATATCTTAGTTTGAGACTAAGTAGGAGTGATCA